CTGTTGCCATCTCGCATTAATGTTTATGACACTTGCTTAATTTGTAGGGTTTCCATTAAAGCAGTGCAAATAACAGCGCATCACGCCAACATATTTTACGGGTTGATTACGACGTGCTGCACCACTCTTTCCCTACAGAATTATGTGCCATCTGTTCAATATAGTTGTGCAGCTGTGGGAAATGGAATCAAACATGCAGAACAGGTATAGAAGAGGAGGCTCTTAGAATTTCAAGGCCGTTCCAACACATTTGATTCAAAGGACTGAAGTGAAAATCGATTTTTATTTCAACAAGGTTACTTCCAACCTCAAAAAACTTTATGAATGATTCTAAAGGTTTCTTTCTTTCAAAGACTTTCTGACTTATTTGATACAGAAAGTACTCTGCCACCCAAAACAATACTTCCATACCTATACATGTACATGTAGAAGCAACAATAAAGCACTGAGATTGAATGAGTGACAAGAGAGTCTCTCACAAATCTTTGTTAAACATTCAAAAATTTAACTTGTCCCCACACTGTAAATCCTTGCACCAATTTTAGTTATGACCGAAAGAAACTGTGTAAGAAAAAAAATCAGTCTTTGCTAATAATCACTTGACAATTTGCCAAGCTCACAACATGACAGGCAGCATGTGAATTCCCTGTCCTTAGGAGGTGACCCAAAACAGTAGGAAAATCTTAATTGCTTTGGTGCTGCAGCTGCCATAGTCTAATGATTTAGGGAACAATTAAAACACCAAAGTCATTACATACAGTGAATGCTATGTGCAGATCAAATCAGATTGCTATCAGACATTTGTACACTGGGGGTCACAAACAGGGCTCTGTTGGGTAGGTGGGTAAATACATTTAATAATGTTATATCATTCCATAGCTGCCATGCATATTGTAATGTGACTTTCAAAGGAGGAACACCTATGACTACATCATCATCATCATCAGATCACTGTGACTTTCCACAATGGACGTTAAGAAACATCAGAAGGCCCTTTATTAAATGTGAATTATTAGTCAGGATAGTTACTGTCCAAGATTTCTTTTGCAACATGTAACATTACCATGCTGGGTATCACTTTGATGCATGCAAGGGCTCCTATTTGAAATGGGATTGTTCCTTCTCACCTGTAGATGTTCATCAGCAAACACTTTTAAGAATGAGTCTTATTAAAAAATTGCCATCTGGCATGTGTAATCTCATGGCAATGGGGACACCCCCCCCATAATAGGCAACACTGAGCCATAATCCGAGCTTAGCAAAGCTATCCATCACTAGACACTACAAATGCACAGTGTGTCAGAACTGATGCAGCGACGGGAAGGTTGCATGCCAGTCTTCTCTCACATGGGAGTCCCATCAAAGCAGTGTCACTCCAGTTATGCAATGCAGAAGATTGTGAAGGCACTCTCGGGGGAGGAGGAGATACCTGTTGACCTCTCTGTGATACAAACTTTCCCTCTATTTTCATGCAGCTTTGTACTCGAAACCTAATCTCTGCCACACAATAACTTTATACTTCCTAGGAGTATGCAATACTTGGCTTCCCCAGCCCATTCCTGGCTATCTTCCTCCACCCATGTGCTGTCAACCTACATGTACTCTGTCCAGACAAATGGATACACAAACCCACAGCTCGGCCACCCAAAACAATACTTCTAATCACAGAAGTAACAAGGGCTGTTAATCACGAATCCGATCACCTGTCACCCAGCCAGTTTATTTCAAGTAAGGGACAGAAGTTTGAGTTCAGTTGCACAGCACAAGTTGTCACACTAACTACATTGCTGTATGACTGTTAACTTTCATCACACCCATGATTCTTCTGCTCCGAGCCCGAATATCAATGATTACCTCTCCCAAGCCGGATTACTTCAAGGGCCACATTTTCTAGGTCAAACCTGCCTCAAAGAACAGACCACAGCCCGACAATGGTGGTATCTACAGCCACTTACTGATTCTGAAGGCCATTCCATGAAGCCCCACAAGTTTCTTGAGGCAATTCAAAGAACCAAATACATGTAATTAAATTGGTAACAGCCTTTATTCTTGCTCTCACAACAGACTATCAGTATGGTGGCGAGCACCATCCATCTCGGTGGACACCTATTGATTCGGTCCTATAGTGCAGAGAGACATCGCGGCACCATCCTAAGGCTTACAGTAATGCAGGTCCAGCCCTTCATCAGGCCTAACAAGATAGCCAGGGCCCTCAGAGTCCTGCCATGTTGACTCCCTTGGCTCTCCTGACAAGGGCACCAAATTTGGGCAGAAGTCAGAGCACATGGGGATCACATTTGACAAGTGTTGTCATTGTTTTCCTCACAAGCACTATCATGCGTATTCCACATAGCTGTTATCATGTTTTCCATTTGACGTATAATTTTGAGTTTAACTTTCACCTTGCTGACCTACATTGCATGTTGCAAGCAACACGCGTTTAGTGTAAGGACAAGCTCTGAGAATGGGGAAGGTCAAGACAAACTTATGCCAATAATAAATCATATGACACACAGAAACACTGACGAAACCAATGAGCGCAAGGTAGATAAACAAACTCAATCTAAACTTCTCTATGCATGCAAAGCAAATAAATTGCACAGTTATTACCGATAGGTTTATTGCCAGAAAAGAAGCCAGCACTGAAGACAGCAGTGAGAGTAAATACAGAAGCTACTTGCTCCATCTAGACCAGAGATGGCTTCCCTCTTTGACACACAGCGTTTTTAAAAAATTGCATGCTGTCATGTCCCTTGAAAATCAATTGGCAGTGACTGTTTTTTATGAGGGCGACTCTTGACTTTGACCAGCACAATGGCTCACAATGTGTCTGCTCTGGGAGAAATATATTGATTGAAACTCTCTTATGATGAAAAGAGATGCATGGAGACATATCACTCTGTCATCTTCCATACTTTAATCGTGATAACAGGGAATTGCTGTTTCATGGACGGTCGATAAAGGACTTCCTGTGGGAGCACGATAACGGATCAAATTTACACATTTGTCCTTGCCTTCCTGGAGCAACAAGATTCATATTATCGATCACGCCAAATCAACAGTGAGAGAACAAGGCATGCACTCGTCTACGAGTCTAAAATGGGTTGTACACCTTTCTGCATGTCAAATACGTCCATGTACATGTTGCTTTAATATACCAATGTCAGCATATGTCATATTACTTATGTTATGTGTAGAGCTATATTATTTTAACTCTAAGTTTCCAAAGATTGTAAACTTGCAGATTGAAAAAAAAGAAAGATGCATAATCCTAGTAAGTTCCAGAACTTTTCAAGACCTGCAATAGAACGTCCACAAGATAATCCACTCCCACGATAGCTGGGTTGTTTGAGTGCTTTTAAGAGCAGTTTGAAATACTACCTACCTACAGTGATCCATATTTCAACATATACCTTCAAGGCAACTTCTGATGTGCTATTAAGTGTAGGCAATATACACATCAGCATGCATCACAACTGTTCATCCAACTTGTAGGAAACGTTTTTCACTTCAATCTCGTAGCAGGCTATGAATACATTTCCTCAATTGAGCCCAGAGATACTAATAGC